CCTGACTTTGAAGCAAGTCTCTCGATCTCCTTTTAAAAATAAACATCAACCTTTCTCACAAAGGTTGTTAAAAAAATAGTAGGATGAAATCAGTAAGTCGTTCTTTGATTGTCTTTGAAGTGGGGTTAATTCCCCAGCTCCGAGGTGTACATTCACGACAAAATAATACAACAGAAAAACAAAAACACGTCTCTGACTCATGAATCTTTGTTTTAAAAAGTCTTCTCTGTTCTCTCATTGGATTCCACATTTAGATGAAGCCACCGCCGTGGAGTACACTGGTTCCGTTTTTGGAGCCTGTTTCTTTTGGAAAAGGGAGGATCCTTGCTTTGCCTACATTACGGATGAGTTCAGAGGATTTAGAGACGATAGTAAACGCTCTGAATGCTAGTGGCATGTCTTGACATGGCTGGTATCAACGTACAGATTCCTCAGATTGGATCTGGGCAGCACAGCACTCTTGGCATGGTGTCTTTGTTTCCTCAGCCATAAACACACAGGGACTAGATCTACCTTGTAACTTGTAGATTAAGGACTGAGTGGGAGATTCCAATCTGCCATTGGTCTGCAGGAAGGGCACACTGTTCTGGGAAAGGTGGGAAGCCACCCTGGCACCTCCTCAAGCCAGCAGCCTCTCACTTCCTGGGACATCTGCCACTGACGTTTCTTTCTTTCTTTCTTGGCTTTGCCGCCAGCGACTCACGGCAGCCCAGCTCCAGGTCGAGCTGTCATTCACCATCTTAGCTGTCATTGGCCCTCATGTGGGATCTCATCTGGGGTCCTGCTGCTCAGAGCTGGCATCCCAAGCCAACTCTTTTTTTTTTTTTTAGCTGAGCCATCCTGCCACCTGTTGGTAGCTCAGCAGCAGCTCAGCTCGGGCCAGGATTTGAACCGCTGTTGCTCAGAGCTCAAACTCTTGAGCGAGCTCTTAACCACCTGAGCCACTCGGCCGGCCCCTAAGCCAACTCTTAACCAATGCACCACTTGGCCAGCCCCCAATAGCATTTCTTAAATGCTAGAGAACCCTAGAAAGTCAGAGCTGGCCGGTACCTTCTAGTTCTCTGGCTTTACTCTCACCATTTGTTTGTTTTTTTAATTTTTTAAGTATTTTTAAATTTTATTTTTAATTATAGTTGGCATACAATATTACCTTAGTTTCAGGTGTACAACATAGCGATTCGGCATTTATATACTTTTCGAAGTGATCGCCATAGTAAGTCTTGTGGTCATCTGTATCACTGGGTATTTCACGAATTTTGGGGAGGGGTTCATGAGAGGGGTGGGGTCCAGGTCTTTTGACTCTTCAGCTGTTTGTTTGGAAATGTTTTGCCCCTTTTCTCTGGAGTGGGATCCCAGGTTGGGGGCACATACCACAATCTGTTTGATAAATGCCTGGGCAGATCTCTTAACTGTCATGAGCCTCTGTTGTCTCATCTTTAAGTAGGGATAGTAGTGTTTATACCATCTGATTGAGAAAGGGTCTGGCACATAGTAAATGCTCAATAAATATTAGCTCTTTGGGGGGAGAGACATGAGTAAATTGGTAATAGTAGTCTAGTGTAAGATGTTATGAGGTGGGCGATACAGGGTGTATAGGAGCACAGAAAACAGGTTTCTAAGTCAGATGGAGTGGGGAGTCCGGGAGGGCTCACTGGAGGAGCAGGCTAGGTGTCAAAGTACAAGTCGGAGCTTGTTTCACAGGCAAAAGATGAGGAGAGTGTTTCAGGCAGAGGGAATGACATGAGAATGCACAGAGCCCTTTATAGCTTCTATCAGGCATCCTGCAAGTGTCAATTTATATGATTTTCCCTCTTCAATTTCAGGATGAAGTCTCTCATACTTCACTTTTTAGCTGGTTTGAAATGCCTGTCTGCCTTGAGAATACTGCTGTTTTGTTTCCTGTTGCTTCTCTAGCAGCACCTGGCACATTTTGGACATTTAAATACACATTGAATGAATGAATGAATGAATGAACTTCTCTCCTATTAGCTCTCCAAAGACTCAGACTCCATCTCTTTTCTTTCCCTGTTGTGCTACTTCTTTTTGCTATCCCCTCCCCCCAACCCCATCCTGCCCCTCTTCTGCCTGGCTCCGTTGCCCGGGAAGCAATGCTCATCACACACATGAGAACTGATTCACAAGCTACACTCACAAGTACTGGCAGAGGGGGGCGCTTGGGTCAGCTGGGTAACGACCATGGGAAGATATACTGAAACCAGAAGCATGAAGTTGAAGCAAGGGTCACTGGTGGTGTCACTGAGCCAGGATGGCATCTGGTTACACAATGGGACCTTGGAGGGGCAGACCTTGGGGCCCCCTGCTCAGGACTCCCTCCGCCTGGACAGGGTTGGAGGGGCATTGATACAGCCCAGCTCCTCCGTCGTCTAGGCTGTGCCAAGCTGTAGGAGCTGGTCCCCTGTAGGCTCAGACTGTCTCTGGGTGTGTTAATACAGTGAGCAGGCTTCCTTCAAACAGGCCTAGATTTGACTCCCAAGCTGTCCTCTGGGTGGGCAAAGCAAACCTCTCTTTAAATGGTCTGCCCCTTTAGTAAGATGAGAGATGACTCTCAGAGGTAACTGTGCTTCTGACTGCTGAAGGGCACTTCTCTGTTCTAGGCCAGCACTGGGTTCCTCACCAATCCCCTGCCAGACCCCCTTCAGGCCAGGGTGTCTGGAATCTCTGGGCTCCGAGCTCAGTGCCCAGGAACACTGGCCACTCCCTTCCTGGTTGTCTCTGCACCCATCACACAGTCCTGCTTCTCTTCTCTTCCCTGCCTCACCCTCAGCAGCACCCCAGCCTTCAGCGCAGCCGTTCTACACCAAAAATAGTGCCTCCCATGTGTGCAGCCCCGTACTGCTTACAAAGGCTTCCACACGTCTTCACGCATTTGATGTTCCCTTCGGTTGTGGAAGGAAGGAGAGCAGATGTTATATAATATAAAGAGTTTCATAAGCTAGTGGTGGCCCTGGGAGGGAAGCACTGCTCTGGGCAGTACTTGAGCGAGTGACCTTGGAGGGTGGCGAGGCTGTGTGTGAATTTGCAGGTTGCATGGCTCCTGGGGATGATCAGGCCCTAGGGGGTGTCCATGAGAGCTGCTGTCTGAGGAGAGGAGGAAAAAGCCTTTGGACACCTGTGGCCAAGGCACTGAGCGGCCAGGGTCTTGGCTGAGCTGACCATGAGGCGTGTGAATTCCCTGAGCGGGATGACAGGAACTGGGTGGACAAGACCAGGAGCCAGTGGCCAAGTCTCAGTAAATGAGGATAAATCTCAGGATTGGTGGCTGTCGACGCCGAAGACGGGGGGAAGGTGGGTCAGCCAGGTGGTATGAGCCTTCGAGGAACCCGTTTTCATAGAGGCTGGGGAGTAATGGTCTGGAAGATGAAATGCGGAGGGATACAAAATTTATGCTGAGCTACGAGAGCTGGGGGCGAATGAAAAGCCTGCCCTTGAGAGGGCAGTAGGGGCCAGAGACGTTCAGCTGGACTTCAGATGAGGACCAGAGGGAAACTCCTCAGAAGAGACTAGGATATTTCTGATCACTGGCTGGGAATTTCGGGGCGCTCCATTCCAGTGGGGAGAGGAAGGGCGGGGTGTGGTTTGGCTCAGGTGGGGGAAGAGGCTTGGGAGGAAGCTCTGAGTCCTTCTCAGGAAATCAGGAGTGTGAGTGAAGTTCATCCGTTCAGTCTCTGCTAGCAGAGGTGGGCTTGGGGCTTCCTGTGGAGTCCCAAGTAAATGCTTTTGGAAGGCGAGCTGGGAAATCTGATTATAAACTCTAAAATCACAGAATAACAACTCCACATTTGGGTGATACTTGAGAATTTACAAAGTATTTTAATTGTAGTCTATCATATATTTTCACAGTTCCTTCTTATTGCAGCCCTGTGAGGTGGGCGTCATCAATGATGAACTCAGTGACTTGCTGAAGGTCATATTCCTGCCAAGTGTCAAAGGTGGGATTAAACTTCACTCTACACTGCCTTCTAAGTGCATGGATGAGTGCAGCGCTTTCAGGGTTGCTCAAAAAACCAAAAAACAAAAAACAAGACCTTCCTGAGGTCCATTCTTTTTGCATCTGATTGTTGACCCCTCTTTCTTTTCGCTTCTGTGCCATCTTTCCAACATTCCAGAAATTACTGGTTTCTCAAGGCAGGCCTCCACACCTCACTTTTCTCTTTGGATGGCTTTATAGCTCCTAAAATGGAAGCAGATACTTACTGGGTTACAGGCTCTGTTTTGACAATATCAGAGAAAAGCGGGACAGTGAGTCAGGGCTAAAGACAACTCCACTTATTCAACTGGGACCGGCTGGTCAGCTGCAGTGGGCAGAGGTGGAATTGGGAGTTCAGGGAGGGGACGGATCACCACCCCTACTTCTGCCCCTGAGCTCCTCCTGGCTGGGAGCTGGACTCCGCATGAAACTAGGTAATATCGTCCAGGGGTGGCTTCAAGGCCCCTTTTTAACCTATACTATTTATGTCACCCACGTCATTCCAAGCTCTCTCGCTTTCGAAAACCTTTGGAGAGGAGGCTGCGGCTCCAAAAAGCAATGTAAGCTTTTTCGCTGGCATTAAAGGGAGGACCTGCAGTGGCCTACCCAATTATAAAAACCTGTTTAACAATAAAATAGTGCCTGTTCGACTAAGCCCCACCCGCAGTATGACGTCACCAGAACCGCCCTCTGGTGTCAGGGTCTCGTTTCATCTCCAGGAAGACTCATTTTCACTGTGGGGCAACTACAGGTTTGCTGCAGCACATGTATTGTAATGCACAAATAAAATGGCAGTTTGGAAAGCTTCTTCCAAGTGATCATGTTTGTTCTCTCTTCATAAGTTTTGTGGGTGGGGCGGAAAGGAATTTTAAGGTTCAGTCCAGCAAATTTAAGAAGTTCGCCCCCCCCCCCAGGAGGAAAATAGTTGCGTCCAATCCCCCGGGCCCCTGTCAGTTAAGAAGGTGGGGCTGTGACGTCAGGTTCTGGGCGGGGCCGGATTGTTCTAAATGAGGTGAGGGCTGGGAGGGGTGCGTCTTCAGGGGAGAAGGCCGTCGTGGGAATTAGCCTTCTTTGCCTCCATATTTAACTTGTGTAGACCTTAATTGAAACGTACGGAAGCGCGTATGCGAACTGGCAGTCTTCTCTACAGCTGTGGAGAGGACGGGGACAGAAGCCCTCCCCGTCGCCACTCCCTCTAGTGGCCGCATCCATTTCGCGCGGGCGGCCCGATTTAAGGGTTGGGTGTAGTGTCAGTTTTAGGGATCGCAAAGCGTGGGGGCTTCATGGCCCCGCTGGAAGGCGGCCCGCGGCTGGTGCTGCTGTTCAGCGGGAAGAGGAAATCCGGGAAGGACTTCGTGACCGAGGCGCTGCAGAGCAGGTGTCTGCGGGGCGGGGAAGGGTGGGGGGAAACCCCACATGACGTGATGCAAGGGGTGTGTTTGGGTGTGAATGGTGTGAGCTTTGGGTAGGGTCCTCGGGTTGCAGGGCTGGAGGAGCACTGGCCGGTGGGAGGTGGGGATGTCACCAGCATATAAAACAGCATTCTGCACACGCCCACCTCAAAGAGCCAGGGGACCCTCTCTCCAAAGACTAAGCTGTAGGCCTCTCTCGCCAAGAAGCATTAATAGCAGTCACTACCAAGCCACTTCTTGTACACCATTCCTAATCCACGCGATAGTGTTGCTAGTTAACCGTTACAGATGAGGAAACTGAGTCACAGATAAATGATTTGCCTAAGACCACCCCCCAGCTGTGTCTGACTCCAAAGACAAACCCTCACCCAGCACACCACCTAACAGCTGGGGCTTACTGAGCCGTTCTGGTGGGCCAGGCACTGTGTGTATATATTATCTCCTTTCAGCCTCAAAACGTCTTTGTTAGGTACTGTCAGCACCCCCACTTCACAGGTGAAGAAACTGAGGCTCCAAAAAGTTCAAAACACAACAGAACCCAGACTTGCCTGTGCCCAAGCCACCGGCAGATGTAGGACTCAAATTAAGCTTTAGTCTATTAATAGATCCAGGAATTGTTTTTTTCTGCTTTACCTCACTGCCTCCCCAAAGAATACCTTTTTCTCCGTGTTTCCTCTCAGAGCGAGATGGTCTGTGTGGGAGCATTTGGCTGGGGCATTGGCTGTGAGAGCAGAGGTAGCAGGGAGGAAGCAGAGTGGGGTTCCTCTCCTGAAAACCAGTGTGGTGAGGGTACCCTGAGGCTGCTTTTGGGCACCACAGGGCTCCTAAGAGGTTGTGGGGGAGCCCACGGCAGCCAGCGGTCACCACCTGAATCTTTCACCACCTTTTCCTGAGTTGAATTTCTCTGTACCCCCAGCCACAGGAGTCAAATAGTGGTCAGAAGCACAGGCTTTGGAATGAGACTGCTGGGATTCAGTCCTGACTCACCACTTACCAGCGTGTGACCTCGTACAAGTTTCTCATGCATTCTGTGCCTCAGTTTTGTCATCTGTGCGATGGGCATAGTAATAAGGTTGTTGTAAGGATTAAATGAGACGGTGCATGTGAAGGGCTTAGAATATATTTCTGACACCTATAAAGGCACAGGAACTAAATGATGCCTGTTGTTTTTTATTTTACCCAAACTGGCTTCATTACTTGCAGTGTTGCTTTGGATGAGTCAGTTCTCCTCACTTAACCTCAGTTTTCTGATCTGAAATGTGGAAATAACACCCACCTCACCGTGTTAGCCGTTTAGGCGAATCTGTGAGCAGACAGTACAAGATAATGAAAGGCTGGCTGAGTAAGTTGAACAGAGTGGATGAACTGAGTGGGGACCCGGTCACAGAGGCGGAGGTTCTCTTGCTGTGAGAAAACGAGTTCGGGGTTCCCACAGTAACTAACCTAGCCAGGATATCACCAGACACGGATGTTCAGATTGGAATTATAATTTTATTTCTTTTCCCTGTTAGTTTCGGGACACTTTCACATTCATTTGAGTTGCATGGTGGTCCTGTGACAGGCCAGCAACAGGCATCCCCATTCTACAGATGAGAAAATGGGATCAGGGAGGGTGAGATCTGACAGTGTGAGTTACCGGAAGCAGAGACAGGGCTACAGCCCAGGCCTCTGGGTTCCTCTTCTGGGGCCTGGGAGCTCCAGGGTAACTGGGTTTGGCTCTCCCTGTCTCACAGGCTCGGGGCGGACACCTGTGCTGTCCTCCGGCTCTCCGGGCCACTCAAGGAGCAGTATGCTCAGGTAGGTGGTGACTCTGTGGCATCTGATGGGTTGGAAGGAGCCAGCTACCCGGCTTTGGTTGCTGTGGCTGTCGCTTGAGTCACTTGCTGGCAGGGTCCCTGTGACCACTTGTGGCCAGCTCTCGGTTTTCTGTGGGTGGACCTTTCGGGGGGCATTTTCAGCTTCTCTGTGTTTCCCACTGGCCTCGCTCACTTCAGGCCACCTCCCCAGAGTATTTCAAGAAAGTGTGTCCAGAAAAGGCTGGACAGGCGAGTCGGCAGCTCTGATGCTGTGGAATTAGCAAGGGTCTGCACACGTCCCCTTACTCAGAAAGTGTGATACCACACATGACCCCCTCAGCTGGCCTGCCACAAGCCCTGAAATTCTCTGAGAAATTTAGTCGCCTGAGTGGTCAAGATATGTTATCGAGTGAAAAAAACAAGACTTGGAACAGTGGGCAGAGAATGCTGCACTTGTATAAAAATGGGGGAGAATTGTAAATACATTTGCTCATGTATTCAGCCATCCAACGGTTATTTATGGGCTGCATGTATTGTGTTCAATGCTGTTCCAGGTGCTTGGGATGCGTCAGAAGGGAGGGAGGGTACCCAAGACACTGCGCCATTGGTGGCCCCAGGGAGTGGAGCTATGCGGCTGGGGACAGGGTGGGAGAGAGATTTTTCACTGTAAGTGAATATGCATCGTTTGAATTTTGAGCCATGTGGGTCTTCAAAAAACAAACAGGGTAGTTGGGATAGGATTTAAAGAAAAGAAACAAACACTTATAACCTTAGACTTCTGAAAGGGGCGTGGACGTGAGCGTCTCACACATTGAAGAGCCCCCTGGTCGTCTGCATTTCTGCCCTTGACCTCTAAGTGCTCATGGCCCCTTAGTCAGTTAGCCTGAGCCTGGCCTTCTGGGGCCACACAAGACGAATTTGTCCCCCCTTTCGTACGACAGCCCCGTCTCCTGTACCCCTGCTCTTCTCCCACCGGCTAAACAGACCTGTTCATGGAATGGCGGCCTGGGGGACCCGGGGCATAACGGTCTGTGGTTGTCACAGTTGTCTTAGTGGTAACCTTTGGGGTGGTGGAGACACTCAGCCCACCCCAGAGGGACCTGACACCAACCCCGGGGCTCGGAGGAGCAGTTTGAAAACCATGGTGTGCTTCCCGGGTTAGGCCTGGCTCCGGAACATGAGCCAGAAGGGGCGAGGGTGAGGGGGTGCAGCCGGGGGGGCCAAGGGGCTGGAGTTTGTATTTTTGAAGCCTCAGTAGGCGACTGATAGACCAGCCTGGCCCTGCCCTCTGGAAACCCGGCTCCACTCCACCTACCACTCCCCTTCAAACCCAGGACCAAAATGAAATGTGAATGCCTTGATTTCTTAAGTCACAATGAGAAATGTAACGGAGCAGCAGACCGGAACGCCCCTGGCGGCCACTCTCCCCCTGTGGTAAAGAGCACACAGAAAAGCAGTTTACAAGCGGGAGGTGGCTGCCAGCATCACCTCGGAGCAGGGGTGCAGGCGGGCGATGTGACTGGCCGACGCTCGGCCCTTAGTCTGCAGGCGGAGAAGCAGTACGAGGGGAGAGGCCTTGTTGCAGTGAGTGAGTGAGTAGCACAGCTGGAACCTGAACGGATGTTTTCAGGCCCCTGCCCGTCCTGGGCCCTCTTGATGGACCGCTCCTGCTTGTCAGTGCCCCTGGAGAAGGGGAGGCCAGGGCAGGACGCAGCTCCTCCGTCCAGCCCCAGGGGTGCTCGGTGTGGGAGGCGCCAGGAGTGCCCGGAGTCAAAGGGAGTGATGCCATTTCAGCAGCGATGCCAGGGGGTTTGGGGGTGCGGCTAGGGGCTGAGGGAGGGAGGAGAGAGTCAGGAAAGCCAAGTGTCCCGGGCTTTGGGATGGGGGCAAACGATGCCAGAAGGGGCAGTGGGGGAACACGCAATGCCACGTTTTCTGATTTCCCACGTTAGTTGAAGGCTAAGCCTATGCCCAGGGGATGCAAACTAATTTCAGGATTAGCTTAAGCCAGAAATAATTGGGAAGGTAAAACTGTTGCCAAAACCACCCCCCCTCCCACCTCCAAAAAAAGAAACCAAACCAAACCACATTACACATTTAAAAGACACAGTGGAACAATTTCTGGATTGTCCTGAGACCTTCCATCTGCCAGTGTTTGGGATTTCTTCGTTTCCAGAGCCTGTCCTGGCAGAGACCTCCCTGGTCCTGGCATCGTCCTGGGGGAAGGTGGGGGTGGGGAAGGCTGACCCTCCCTCTGTTTTAGGGGAGACCAGGGAGGTGGAGAGGTTGGGGGCATAGACTTGTAATGTGCTTTGGGCAGGAGCACGGCCTGAACTTCCAGAGACTCCTGGATGCCAGCACCTACAAGGAGGCCTATCGGCGGGACATGATCGCCTGGGGGGAGGAGAAACGCCAGGCTGACCCAGGCTTCTTCTGCAGGAAGGTGGTGGAAGGCGTCTCCCAGCCGGTCTGGGTAAGAGTGCTAGATGGCAGCATTTACAAAACACATTTCCCTAGTCCCCCCCTTTCCCCACATAAGTCTCAGACGTGACCATTTCGCTCTTTCCGCTGCCACCTCCCATGGTCCAAACACCATCTCTCCCCTGGACAATTGTCATAGCTTCCACACTGGTCCCAGCTTCAGTCTTGTCCCCTATGACCCAGTCACCACACCGCAGCCAGAGTGAACTTTTCAAAACATAAACCAAGTCATGTCAGTCCTTTGGTTCGAACCCTTCGTCCCACTGTTCTAATGAACCAAACCAAAACCCTTCGCATGAACTCTGGGCCTTAACGGACCCGGCGCCTGCTCCCCTTTTAGCCTCCTTACTCCTTAAGCTGCAGTTGCATCGGCCTTCGTTCTGTCCCGCAAATAGATCGAGTTTCTTCTGGAATCAGGGCCTTGGCACATGCTCTTCTACCTGTGCGGACTGCCGTTTCTTTCCCTCTTCACCTGGTTAGGTCTGGCTCCGCTTACATGGCACCTCTTCAGGGAAGCCTTCCCTGATACCCTGGTCTTAAGTCGTGCTCCCTGTCGGGTGCTCCCGTAGCACCGTACCCTTTTCCTTCCACCTTCATCTGTCAGCCAGCCTTGTCTGCTCTATGAGGCATGGTGCCAGGGGACTTGCGGGTACATCAGGGCAAACCCACAGTGAAGTCCCCACCCTCAGGGAGCTTACATGGTAGCCGGGGGTAGAGGGAGTTAGGCCCTAAGTTAATACAGCATCTACTGGGTGGAGATGAATACTACGGGGCAAAGTAAAGCAGGCCCCACGTGTGGGGAGGGCTGGGTTGCTGCTTTGTCAGCGGCATCGGAAGGCCTCGCTGATGAGACATCTGAGCCGGACCTGAAGGAGGTAAGGGCGGGAGCCAAATGGGAATCTGTGGGTCAAGGGTGTGTGGTGGAAGGTGAGGTCAGATCATGCAGTTTCTTTGGAAAAGCATAGATATTTCTCTGCTTGGGACGGGGACTCAGTGGAGGGTTTTGAGCAGAGTAGAGACGTGTCTGACCTAGGGCAAGGGTGAGGACTGACAGCCAGGAAGAGGACCTTTGTCAGATAGGCAGAGTGGCCGTGGCCGGCCCAGAGTGGGGGCGGAGGGAGGAGAAGGGGGTGACTCTGCACAGAATTTGAAGATGGAGCCAATAGGTGCATTGGCTGTGGGCTGCGAGCACAGGAGATGGTGCCAAGGATTTTTCTCTGAGCAGCTGGACAAATAGAGTCATCATTTTCTGGGACAGGGAAGGTGAGGGAGGGACAGGTTTGGGGAGAAAATCAGGAATCGACTTTTGGCAGTGGTAAGGCTGAGGTGCTTGTCGATGTGCACCGTGAGGACTCGGGTCTCCATGAAGCTGCTAGTTCCCTGTCTGTCCCCCCAAGACTGGAAGCTCTGAGAAGGCAGACGCCGGGGCTGATTTGCTCACCACTCGGTCCCTGGCGCCTGGCACACAGCAGGTGCTGGTTGTCGTTTTTGTTTAACAGTCGGGCGAGTGAACATGTCAGCAGCCTGGACAGGGACAGCTGGCCTCTTTATTCACTGATTCACTCATTCATTGAACATATGCTCCTGAGTGCTGGTGTGGCAGACAGCGCACTAGGGGCCAGGGACATAGCAGTGAATGAGACAAGGTCCTCTGGCTCGTGGAGCTGACTCGGTAGGGCAGACAGACAGTAAACACACACACACACACACACACACACACACACACACACACACACACTGATAAACAGATGCTCAGAGGAAAGTAAACAGCATATCGGAATCAACAGGGACAGGAAGGGTGCCAGGGTGGAAGGGAAAGCCTCTGAGGAGGTGACATTTGAGCCGAGACCTCCATGAAGTGAGGGAGCCTGCCTTGTGATTATCCAGGCAGAGGGCATAGCACGTGCAAAGGCCCTGAGGTGGAGACCTGGTTGGCGTGTGTGAGAAATAGCACGGAGGTCAGTTGGTGGCAGTGGAATGAACGAGGGGGCTGCTGGGAAATAGGCGCCAGGTCTTGCAGGGCCTTGTAAGTCGGGTAAGAGCTTTGGATCTTGTTAGAATGTTGGGAAGCCCTTGAGAGGTTTAGATATTAGGGCAGGGTGCTGACAGAAATCACATTTACATTTGAAAAGGTGCTAGGGGGCAGGGACCAGTTAGAGTATCTTGGTTTCTGGCCTCAGTTTGCTCATCTGTAAAATGAGTGTGTTGGACTGGCTGAATTGACTTCAAAGCCTGAGGCCTCTTTTACCCAGTGATGACTGGCACGACCACAGAACACAAGTGTGTCCATGGCAGAGACAGTGGGCAGAGTGGGCTGCAGGCTGCAGCAATCAGGGACGGCTGCTTGGAGAGAGGACATCTGTCCCAGCTGTTTGGGTGATCATGGGGTGTGGGGCTACGCTTTCCTGGGTCATGTCGTTCCCCACCAACCCTGTCATACTGCTTATTCAGAGTGGGGCTGGGTTCTCCCCTCGTCCAACCCAGCGCCCTGTCCTGCTGCTCTCTGCGCCATGTCCTGTTGGTCACCTTTGTGTGTCCCTTCCCTGCAGCTGGTGAGTGACACACGAAGGATGTCTGACATCCAGTGGTTCCAGGAGGCGTATGGGGCTGTGGCACAGACGGTCCGTGTGGTGGCCTCGGAGCAGAGCCGACAGCAGCGGGGCTGGGTGTTCACACCAGGTGAGCTGCTCACGACCTTTGCCCCCAAGCTGGCCACCCCACCTGTAGACCAGGCCACCTGCTCCCTTGTGAGTAAGGGATTAGGAAAGGGAATCTGAGGCCCGGGGCTCAGGACTGACCCCAGGTTAGAAAGCAGAGTGGGGTAGGGGAGGGTGTCCTGGGGGTAGAGGTGCTGCGTGACCTTGGCCTGGGACCCTTAGCTGGGCGGTCTTTTCTAGGCCAGTGGGCTGCTGGAGGTCTGGTTGGGATGGACCTCCAGCGGGGTGGAGACCGACAGTGGGGCCGAGGGCAGGCCTGGCCGCCTCTCTCCTGTTTGGGTCACAGAGTGGAGGCGGCAGGAGGGAGCTGTAGGAGCCAGGACCTGCTCTGTGGCAGTTGCGAGGCACAGCTCGGGTCTCCTCCTGCCCCAGGGTCACGGTGACTCGGGGAAGTTCAAGTCCAGCGGGTACGACCCCTCCTGAGGGCTGCCCGTTTCCTGGGCACTGAGCACAGGCCGGGCTGGGGCGAAGCGCTTTGCACCTCGCCTTATAGACACAGTACACCCACCAGGTGATGCTGCTGGGACCCCTCGCATTGTCAGCTGAGGATGGCACGCTGCCTCACGAGAGGATTGAATCGTTGTAGGGATGGAAAGCAAGACGCCTAGCTTCACATGAAGTGAAAATGCAGTGCTTTTCGGGTTGTCTGTGGTTTTAGAGGACAGTCCACTCTCTGCAGGCAGTGGCAAGGGACGAGTTTAGTTGGCGGGACCCTCTGGGGCCTGAGGTTGTTTCAGAGGGTGGGGAAGAGCCCTGGGCTGGGTGGGGCTTGGTTCTAGAGTGTCACTGGGGAGGCAGAGAGGCTGGCTCCATCTGGGGCCAGCCGGCCTCCATGCCCGATGCCCCGTGTTTGTCCAGAGGGAGCCGGCTTGACCTCGCCATGCCTCCTCCGCAGGGGTGGACGATGGTGAGTCAGAATGTGGCCTGGACAACTTTGGGGACTTCGATTGGGTCATCGAGAACCACGGAGACCCACAGCGCCTGGAGGAGCAGTTGGAGAAGCTGATAGAATTTGTCCACTCCAGACTTTAGTCATCAGGGGCTGCGGGGTGAGGGTGGGGCTGACTGTACCCCACAGGTGGCTGCTGATGCTGGCCAAGGTGGGGAGCACACAGAGGGCCTGGGGCTTGATTTTGGGGGGGGCTGGCAGATGTCAGGCAAACCAGGAAACCTTCAGGACTTCATTTCTTTATGGGCTGCACAGCCCTGCCTCTTAGGGGGAGACTTAAAGGGCAGAGGGGGGTGAACCGGCTGTGCTTGAAGCAGACACCATCTCCACGGCTGCCTGGCCTGTTGGCCTGTGGTGGCCTTGCTTTCTCTTCAGGATGCTTTCAGCCCCTGGTGCTGGGCAAGCGTGTGGACACTAATAAAGCTCCTTGGAGCACATGCTCAGAGCCGGACATCTCTCATTTCCCAGACACCAGCCCAGCCTGTGTGGGGCTCAGGTGCACGGGTCCCTGTTCTCCTCCGACGTGGGCTGGAGCGGATCGTGCAGATGCTGACCTTGGCCTGCGCCATGCAGGCATCGGGTCTGTTTGTGTCAGAGACAGGATTGGGATCTGAGGGTCTCATCTTCTGGGATGGCCCCAAGAGAGGCTCAGTGCAGCAAGTCCCCAGAGGGACGAAGGTCTCACAGAGGGGCAGCGGCATGGGAGATGGAAGGCTCCTGGCAGCCACTGTGTGGTCCTGGACAAGTCCCATCACCGTGGGCGAGGGCCTGGGACGTGGCCCCGTTTCTTCATTCAGCCTTACACAATTCCTAATTTCTGGCGCTTCCAGCTAACCAGGCCTGACAGCTTGACAGTCGTCGTGGACGCCTCCGTGTCCCCTGACTGCTGGGGCGATTTGGCCACCAGGTTCTGTTAGCCCGCCCTGCCTGTGTGTCCTTTGGGGTTGTCACGGGAGGGTGGGCTCTGGTGGCGGGGGCCCTGTCTTTTTCGTTTGTGCCCCTGGCTCCTAGAGCTGTGTCGGCCCATAGTGGGCGCTCAGAAGGGGATGTGACTGAATGCCTGGTGAGAAGAACAAGAGGTCACGCTGGTGTCAAGCACATGCTGCCTCGCCCCCATCTGCGGGCGCTGACCCAGCTCCTGGGCCTGGAACCCCCACTCCCCTCCCAGCATCGAGCCAGGACGGGCTTAGCGACCACGGGGGCCCCTTCCCATGTGCTCCCCGCCGCCCACTGCTATTTATTCATCCCAGGTTTGTAACCCAAAGAGTTTAGTCCCGGATTCACCAGACTTGGCCCCAGTGACTTGCTCGACGCCATGACTGGGATGGTTCAAAGGCACCTGCAGTGGGCCCCAGAGGGGCACCTCCAGGCAGCAGAGGCAGTGCCCTGGGACTCTGGGATGGTGCTTGCCAGGCGCGTCAGCCCTGCTAGTCTCCTTCCTTCAAGGCCCCACAGACGTTCTCTGTGGCACTGACTTCAGGTTCCTCCCTGGCACCTTGGGGGACACCTCTGCCTCTCCCATAGACTGAGAGCTCCTCGGGGAACGGGCCTGAGCCTGTTCATCTTTGTGTCCCCGTGCCTGGTACCCAGCAAGAGTGGTGATGGCTGGGGATGACTGATGATGACCGAGTGTCCACCATGATCAAGTATCATGTTAGGTATTTTAAATAGACCCTCAGAAAGAGCTGTTAGAAAAAAAAAAAAAAGAATGCATTTTATCCTGCATTCGGTTCTGATAAAATCTCTCAGCAAGCTAGGAATAGAAGGGAACATCATGTACCTGAAAAAGAACATTTACAAAACCCCGACAGCTGGCGGTAGGTAGCGTACTTAATGGTGACATACGAAATGCTTTCCCCCTAAGTTTGGGGATGAAGCAAGGATGTTCACGCTCGTCACCTAGCCAGCATCGTACTGGAGGTGTTAGTCAATGCAATAAGACAAGAAAAAGCAATAAGAGACACCCAGATTGGGGAGGAAGAAGTAAAACGGTTTTATTCATAGAGGCCATGTCCATCTATGTAGAAAATTTGGTGGAATCTCCAAAAAAGCACTTTGTAGCCCTCACTAGAACAAACACGTGTATACAACCAGGTTGCAGGATGCAAGATCAGTGTGTAAAAATCAATTGTATTTCTGTTTTATGAGCAATGAAAAGTCAAAATAAATAACGCCGATTGCCATACCACAAAAATTATGAAATAGTTAGAGATAAATCTGATAAAAGACACGTAAGACCTATACGCTGAAAACTATAAAACATTGTTGAGAGAAATTAAAGAACATCTAAACAGATTATACCATATTCCTGGATTAGTTTGCGTTTTCAGTAATGTATAAACCAATCACATACTTTTTGGTCTTATATTAAGATATCTATTTTAAATTGAGATATAATTGTATACAGTGAAATATACTGATCTTAAGTGTGCAATTCACCGAGTTTTGACAAATGTTCACGCCTGTGTAACGCAAATCCTCGTAAGATAGAGAACATTTCCAATACTTTAGAAAGCTTTTTAACCCTTCCTAGTCAACCTCTGCCCTCCCAGAAACAATGACTGTTTTGATTACTTTTTGCCTGTTCCAGAATTTCATATAAATCGTTAGCATCCAATTTTAAATAAAATTTACAACAATAACTTAATTTTTAGACTTAACTGGTCTGTTGCTCACTTTCACAATCCTTTCATGATACCCCAGCTAACCCATTTTCGAATTTTGTGTATTAATTCCTTTCCAGACAGTTGAGGTGCCTTCAAAGATTTTTTTCAGAAAGGGCATGTGGGTGGTGTATTTTCTTAACTCTTGTGAATGAGGCAATGACATTGTGTTGCTTCTACCTGTGGACAATGACTCGCTTGGCTTAGGATTCATGACCTGGTTCCACTGCTGGCTCATAGTCAACATTGCAGAGTCTCGGGTCACCTTGACTTTGTTCCTTGGAAGGTAACCTCCTCTTTTCTGTCTGGATGCTTTTGGATTTTTTTTTTTTTTTGGCACTCATTTTGGAAATTCAAATTCCCGCATTCTCTAAGGCAGAATGTGGGCCTGTCTTAAGAGGAAAATTTGGCATTCACTGTTCCATGTAAAGCATTATGGAGTAATGAGATACAAATTTAAATGGTTTTGGACGTCCACGGGCTGGCTGCAGCCTGAAGTGGTCACCTTGGGAGTTTGGGCTCAGATGCTTCTGGGATGCTGCCTCTATCAAATGTCTTTGGGAATTCCTCTGTTTTGAGGAGCTGGTTGCAGGGATGGCAGACTCAGCTCCTGAAAGTGGATTTGGGGTTTGGAAACAGCCAAAGGAAACTTGGTGCTAAATTCTGGTGAAGGGAACAGGGTGGGGAATGCACTTTTTTTTTTTTCTAGAATAAAAGGTGCCTATAGTGTGACAGCTCTAAAACTTCCTGAAAGCCAGTTCTTTGAGAGAAATTTTAAAAACATTGTCTTCTCATCCACGCCTCTGCACCCACCTCCTGCTTGGTTTTGTCTTGTATGGCTCCCCAGTTTCAGGGCTTGTGGAAGGTCCGTGCTAGGGACTGTATGAGGCTTTCTGAGGGGTCACCAAGGTGTGTGACAATCACGGAGAGCAAGTATTGTAATGGGCCTAGCTCCAAATCCTTCACTTACAGATGAGGGAACAGGCCCAGCGAGGGGAAATGGTTTGCTCAAGGTCATGCAGCAATTGGTGGCAATGCCAGGACTGGGCCCCAGGGCTCCTGACTCCCCACCCAGGGCACGTGTTTCTGAGACCACGAGCGTGTGCCCTTTATTGGCGGATGGAAGAGAAGAGCCAGCTGGAGCCTTCGGGAGCTTGGCCTGGTCCCCTGCTTCCTGGGCTTTTCCAGACTTCCCCGAGGAGGCCAGGCCACCTGCCTGTGCCACCTGGCATGTCCTGTTTAGGTGAATAAAGGTGTCCCAGGATGAGGAGGCCACAGAGGCCGCTTCCCAGAAGGGAGCGTTCCTGGCGTGCTCGGGGATGGGGCATAGGGGTGTAGACTTAGGCCTGCAGCTCCTCGGCTGGGCTGGGGTTCTGGAAGTGAGGGTCCCGCTCTGCAGCACAGCTGTCTCCACCTGGGCATTGACAGTGTCTGCTAAGTGGAGACGTTTCCAGCAATGTCCCTCTGTGGTGACGGCTCTGCCGAATTTCCCAGCACCTCTAGACCTGAGCTAGGAGTAGTTTTGGCCCCTCGTGTCTCCTGCTGCTGCGGCTGTCCTGCAGGATGGTCGGGAGGCCTCAGGACAGCTGGCCTGGGTTGGCATCGTTGGAGCAGAGCCAGGATGTTCCAGGAACTGTACAGCCAATCCTGCGCGTGCTGGCCAAAGCGAGCCAGAGGGCAGGGAGCTGAGGGCCCGGGTGGCAGTGCCATCCCCTCACCTTGCCCTTGGTCATGGGGAAGGGTCGTGGGGAAGACGTGAACACAGGCGTCACGCTTTACAGTTCACCACGTGTTGTCACGCATGTCACTTCATTTCATTCTCACAGGAGCCATGTCATCATTCCCATTTTAAAGCTGAACTAATGGGGACACAGAAAGGTAGAGTGACTTTGCCCAGCACGCTTCGTAGTCAGGTGTGATTCCTACCCATCATTACCTGCCTGTGGGACCCTGAGAAAGTCAGTTCACATTCGAGCCTTGATTCCCACCTGTGAAGTAGAAACCTTGCCGGTCACGGTGCCGGGTTGCTCAGGCCGCACTGTGCTTGTCCCCAGGAGTTCAACTGCCGTGACCTTCTTTCCCAGTGGGGTTGGGCCTGGTCTTGAGCTTCCATTCCATTTTTAGTGCCTTCCCCCACCCCCACCCCCTTACCCTTTGGTAGGTGTGAGATAAACTTGGCATTTTTGGAAAAGGAATTCTTATGAAAAATAAAGGGAAACATGACTATCAAAATGGACGTGTGACGAATGGAAGAGTGCGGATGCTGAGTCCGTGTGGTGCTAAGCCTCAGGCTGGCTGCGTGGGGCTCCCCCTCACCTACTCCTGCTCCTTGTCCCCTCTCAGTGTGTCTGGCAGGCCTAGACTTGCACAGGTGGCCTCAGCAGGTTGCTTTTCCCACCTGCTCTGGGAGTGCGCTCTAAATATAGGCTTGCAGATGGATGGTCTGAGCCCACCTTGAACTGGGAGGGGGTTGCCAATGAGAATCAGCCCTGGGTGGGCTCTGCTGCGCCCTCAGAGCAGCTTCTCAGCACAGCTCAGGCCTCAAACCCCTTCCCTCTGTGGCATGTGGGCTTTTAACTGAGAACGGTGGCAAGTTTGGGAGGCCCACCCCAGGCTGGTACTGGACATACAAGCATGAGTCAGGTACAGTTCAGGGCTTGTTCCCACCTGGTTTCCTTCTGTTAGTCATTCCTCACAGGCCCCCCTTTCATGACATCTGGTGGGACTGAACTTGACCAGCTCAAAAAACCAAAAAAAAAAAAGCAGTAGTCAATTACATTCAGGTCCCATTAAGCCAAGCTGATACGGCCCCTCCATCCCTCCCCCGCTTTCCTTCTGTCCACGCTTCTGATGGTCACTGATTTAGCCTCTGTAGCAGTCCCCACCCCCCCCCGCCCCGGTAGGGGCTATGGATTTGATTTCGTACACAATGTACACAGTTGTTTTGGTTCCAGAGTACAATGACCTGTGGCGGCCTGTGCTCATAATTAGGTAATGATTTTACTTTGTGTTCTTCGCTAACGATCCCCGGAAGGCCCTGTTCCTGTGGCTTCGAGCCCCATCCCTTGGATGACGGTCCTGGACTCTGCTCTCCAGCCATCCTGATTTGGGATCCCAGTTCCTGGAATCCGCAGGCTCTTGTCCACCTCTGCTCCTTGGAGCGCGCTGTACCTTCTGTCCGGCACATCCCTGCCTCTGCTGTTCCCTTGGTTCCCTCCTCCTCTGGCTCTGCTTCTCTGCTTGCGCATTGCCTCCTTCCCTGGTTCTACTACCCCCGCGGCCCCTCCCCCAGGGAGGTGTCCAGAGCACCCTCTATCTAGCCTTCGCACCCCGTGAAAGTCAGCTTCATAGTGCTTCCTGCTGCCCTCGGAGCTGTGAGGTCAGGGCCTGGTCCCTCTGAGTCCTGTCAGTCCCAGCATGTAGCTCAGCACCTGTCCTGTAGCAGGTGGGCAGTAAATGTCAACGAGCCGGTCAGGAGGCCATGCTGCTGACCACAGAAGTGACGGGGCTCTGGGCCCAACAGGTCCCTTAGCTCAGATCCCCGACACACGGTGCTGGTGTGGCATCAGGAAGGCTGGGCAGGTGATGGCAGGTGGCTGAGCCCCCACCTGTGTCCCCCACCTCCCCTCCTCGGCTCCGTCTTCTCCTGCTGTCCCTCCTGCCTTGGTGGCCTGCCCTGGGTTCTCACTCCCCACTCGTGTTGCGTCCCCCCCCCCCACCTCAGGCTTTGCTGCAGAGGTTCGCCCTGGGATTTCCCCGTTTCCCCATCTTTCCCCATCCTGGGGCAGCTTCCCTTCCGTCTGCGGAGCCCTCTAGTACCGTCTCAGCTCTCTCGTCCCCTTCTTGCCTCTG